GTGTGTGTGTGTGTGTGTGTGTGTGTGTGTGTGTGTGTGTCTGTGTGTGTGCACTGACCTTCGTTCCTGGTGATTTCTATATCAGCAAAAAGGCCGACCTTAATAATCTGCCAGAGCAGTCCCAGGACCAGATGGGGTTTCCCAGCCATCAGATCATGGGCGTCCATGCTCACCACTGTGCAGCCGATCGCTGAGGCAGAGTTCAGGGCCAAGACGAGATTCTCCTAAAAACGCACAAGAAGTCAGACCAGAAAAGATGTGAAGAATGTTTGAAGAGTGTCAGTTTTAGCTACAGCCCAAAAATCCAAATTAAATCTGTAATATTCTAAAAATAATATTGACGTTTTGGATGTATGAACTGTAGAACTGTAAAGACGGCTAAGACTGTGATGGTCATGCATTTAAATTTCTGTATATGACAAGTTCAAAAGACCTCTCACTTCCAGTTTTCAAGAGAACTTTGGAACTAAAATATGACATGTTATGGAAGCTTGGTTGTGCACTCGCTACTTTCCGGGAGGATTTGAGAGAAAAGGCTTATAGCAGTGAAAAGACATAAATCCTTTGTTTCGATATATAGTTTGTAAATGTACCAACAGAAACTGAAGGAGTTCAGTAAAAAAAATTGTTTGCAAAATATCATATCAGTTTAAAATAATCCAATATTGCAAATCCATTCCAGTAAAAATAAGACTAAGTACTTTAATATTGCAAGAGATAAAGCTTAGAAACGTAGGAAAGGGGCATTATAGCACAACACAAACACATCATTTCAAACTTGTGGACTTTGTCTTTTTTCACTCGCTGTGTTCAACCAGGAAATGTTCAAGGCTTTAAATTCCCTCTGAGATATGAGAACCAGTGGGTCTGCTGGCTCTGGGACTCTTATCAGTGAACGCTTGGCAATAACATGAAGAGTAATATTTCATATTTTRTATAGAGGAACTAGTTCCCTGCTCAGCTCAGTTCTTCTGTAGGGATCATAACTTTTGACAGACTGTTTCTGTGCTTCATTTAATGCTCCGTGTCTTTGTTAATTCAATAACTTGGTGTCTTGTTTGATGACTCCCTCACCTTTAAGCCCTATATTGATAATCTTGTRAAGAAACTTAAACTCAGATTGGGTTTTTCCTTTGAAACKAATTCTAATTTACTTTAAAGGTGAAAAAGCAGCTTGATGCAGCAACAATTTTTAAAATCTATTTCAGATTATGGACACCTGTTGTATTTAAATGCCTCAGCTCAATATCTTCAAAGAATTGATGCCGTTTACCATGCTTCCCTGAGATTTGTTACTCTAAAGCAYGTGTCAAACTTCAAGGCCTGTGGGCCAAAAGTGGCCCTCCACAGAATTTTATGTGGCCCCTGAGAGCGTCAAAGATGTATTAATATCTTTGTATGATGCTTTAAAGCCAGCACTGTCAGTAATCTACATCTACCATAATGCATGTTGATTATTTTAAYCGCCAAATTACGACATCCCACCACTAGGATGAGTTGCACCGGGTTCAAAAGTAGCTACTACATTTAGCTGTATTTTTCCCAGCTAATTTTGTTGCAGCCTACTGTGAAGTGGGAACTTCCCACTTACAATTGTAAATTTAAACCGGAAGACCCCCACAGTAGGAATTCCCTGTYAGAAAGTGGGAGAGTTCAGAATGCAACATGGACGTTACATACCACAACTAATCAGTGAGTAAAACCCTTTTATTTAAATTTCAATAGTATTTCTGTATTATTTATTTCCCATTTARTCATCCTACACGTAGTATATTTCAGTGTTTATAAGAGGATGCCTCAAAATSCTGTCTCTATGCAGGAAATACCACGTAGAGCTCAGTTATTGTTTGTTAGTGGTGYTCAGCCGTAGCGAGWTGAGGAACATGACATTTAGTCAAAGTTAAAYATAAAATATCAACAACAACGATGCTCATGATGATGCAAAATGGGTTTGACACCCCTGCTTGACCCATCACTGTGAACTGTACACCGGAGTGGGACGGCCTTCTGTCCACCAGGACGTTGGGACATTGGTTCACTTTTATTTATAAGGACATGCTTGGGCTGTAGTCCTCCTACGTCTGTGATTTATTCTCACAGAGACATGTTTATTTTTACTCTTTGCATTCAAATGACCATTTYTTGCTCTCTGTTCTATTTTCTCACACAGAAGTGGGAAAATGCTTTTATTTTTTACTCAGCTCTGTCTATGAAACATGCTGCAAAAAGACTGGAGATTGAGCACTTTTAAGTCCAGACTGAGAGCTCTACAGATGACTTACTTAAATTGTGACTGTCTAATTGTTTGCATGGTATTTCACTTGTGTAACTAATTGCAATTGTTGTGTAACTTTTGCTGTTTCTTGGCCCAGACTCTCTTGAAAAGGAGGTTTTTAATCTCAACTGGACTTACCTGTAAATACAGGTAAACAAACAAACAAACAAAAAACTTGTGAAAATCAACTCACGGTCATTTTGAAGGTGGTGAGCTTCTTTGTGTTGATGACTCTTTCATCGATGGTGTCGGCCTGAGACAAGTTGATCATTTTACTGAAAGAGAAAAGGTATCGTGAGGTTTACAGTTYGAGGGGAGTCGCTGGATTGGGGTGAAATTGCGAGTGAGTTATTCATTTCAAGGCAGATTTTGCTACATGTGACCTTSTTTTTGTTATGTGCCTCTGTGTGAAAGTCCATCAGAAAAATTATGATGCCCCTGCAAGGCAGATGAACAACTATAAAACAATATAACATTATCACRGTAATTCTGCTTTGACCTTTGCTGTGACATAAAAGACCTCAACAGGCTGCCAGACTCACAGGTTTTGTTTGTTGCACACCAATCATTAAATCTGTAGAAACACAAGTTTTTAATGGATTTTAGTGGATTAAGTTTATCATAAAAATTACAAACAYACAAAATACAAATGTAGCTCAGGTCATTTGTGCTTTTTTTTCTTTGTTTGTATTTTAGTGGTGTAGTTATGGGTTGTTAGATGTATACCTGCAGTAGACATAAATCAGAAAAATCTCTATGTTTAACAGGTACTTTTAGAGTTTTGGTAATATTAACAGTASTTCTGCTGATTTTTGACAACATATTGGCTATTTATAGCTAATGCTAATTTTAGCTTAGAAAGTGCTTAGCTCATTTGAACTACAGTTTTAAGAGCTATCTTATTTTAGCTATTTTGCTAATTTTAGCATTTGTTTTTACTTTTACCGCTGGCATCTGTTTTGGGGAATTTGACAGCTTTTTGCTCAATTTAGCAACTTTTGTTTTAATTTTATCTGGTCCTTTCAGTTTTCAGCCACTTTTCTGCTTCTTTAAGCTCCTGTTTCACATCTTTTAGCATTTACTTTGCTAATTTATCTGCATTTTGTTAATTTAAGCACCTGTTCTTATGTAAGCAACTGTTTGTTTGTTTCAGCTTCTTTCAGACACTGTTCTGCTGCCTTTAACTACCGTTTTACATTTTAGACTTCTGCTGAATTTACTTCAGTTCTACTTATTTTGCCTCCGTTCTGCTTTCGTTAATTTTAGCAACTTTTTTAGCTACTTTAGCTAATTTCAGTAGTTTTCAGCACGAAGCATTCACAATGCATTTTAGTAGGAAATACAGTTTCTCTGGAGAAATGTGATTTGTTGATAATTTCTACTCTAAAAATGAATGTTGAATTTATCTAACCAAGTTATGCCAACTGGTTCCACTCCACTGAGCTTATTAAATGCAAAGCAAATCTTACATTTTTTTTAGAGTGTAGTCTCTTTTTCCTTTTCTCTAAATAAAATAACCAAGTGCGTAAGAATGGGCACTGAAACCTGGTATTTTTTCAGCACTGGTTCCAAATAATTAATTTTGATCAAATTGATAAGTTCCAGCCTTAACGGTATCATTAACCAAAATAATGGAATGACAAGCGCGAACATGGCACATGCCGGGTTGTTTAGAGCAGTGGTTCCCAAACTTTTTATCTTTTGACCCACTAAATATCCATGGCAAAAACTTGTGACCCCAAATATTACTGGTCTGAGTACATGAACTTCATTAATAACCCTAAAAACACAGATTTTTTGACAATCTAAACAGCTTTTACACAAATATAAATACTTATTTATACTTATTTTGTGTTTTTGTAATAATTATAGGGAAAATATTGCATCACCAATTATTTTATGACCCTTTAAATTGATTTCTGAAGTGCAGTGGTTCGCAAACTTTTCAGCTTTTGACCCATAAAATAACAGTAGCAGAGACCTGTGCCCCCAACTATTTTTTGGATGAAAAATATTTGTATCTGGTCAACAAAACATGGGCATAGTAACAATATTTTTATAGTACATTCTTCCATTTTAAATACACTAACCTCACTCCTTTGTAGCAACTAAGGCAAAAATGTAATTAATTCAGAAAATCTTGTCAGGACCCCACCTTGATGTTTCGGGACCCCACTTTGGGTCCCGACCCCAACTTTGGGAAACACTGTTCTATATTGTTCTAAAATTAAAGCRTTACATATTCATGTTTGTTTTTGGTTTTATTCCCACAGAAAAGCATCACTAAGAGGACCAATAAAATACTGCATCGACAGGCAATATTAATAAGAGCAGTAGTGTCCCTACCTGTGAGAGTACCTGACAATARAGATGCTCTCGCGTGCATAAAAATATATGTGCACATTTTAAAACCTTCAGCTTGTGTGTGTGTGGTAGAGTAAATCTGCATCCATGTGTGTGTGTGATACCATAACAGGATGCCGTCACGGATGGAGGAGAAAAGGCTCTCATCGTTGGGGTTTATAGGCAGCAGATGATGACAGTCGGGGTCTTTTGCCAAAGCTTTGCTGATCCACTTTGCGAAAGCTACTTTCTCTTCATCTAAAAAAATGAGAAGCTAAAGGTAAATTATTTAAACAGACATGCTCTGAACAGTCACTGATTCCACCTAGTTTTAAAGAGTACCTTTTAATAATAATTAAAAAAACTCTTCCCGTTGAATAATTATAACTTTTCAGCAATCCTCATTTCTCACCAGAATAGGAGTGCTGTGTTCCCTCACAGGAAACTCCTGACGTGCCTCCAAACGAGTAGATTCCATCTTTCCTTGAAATGAGTTTTCTGAACGTCCCACTGAACTCTTTACTCTTCAGCTCTTGGTAAATCTGACCACAAATAGGTTGGGTTACTACACAATATAAACTTGGCTGGTTCAGGTCTGCTAATCACTATATCAAGACTTACTGAAACAAACTCATCAAAGCTGATMTTCTCGTCTTTGTTTGTGTCTCCAGCGATGAAGGTCTCAACGATTTCTCTCACTTTGTAGCCGGGCAAGTGGAGGCTTGCCTCTCTGAACAGTTCCTGAAGCTCAAAGTCGCTCACGTAACCACTGTTGTCAATATCTGCAGAAAGACACAAACATGAATAAAACGTTGGTTCAATTGGTCCCTGCCGTTAGAAAAGCACAAGAAGTGTGCATGGAATGATCCATCCAGATCATCCACTTCTAAACAGGTCTTTGAATTAAGTTATCATTTGTAATAATCCCATCTGAAAACGACCACAACACCTAAACCCACCATTAATCTTCTAATCATTTCTCAATAGTATCAAATGAGAAGTTTTAGTTCCAATTCATATTTTACAGTTTTCTGTAGTGCCACACCTTTGGAGTGAGAAAATTGTCTGTGCACCCCCAATGGCCATGGGTCCCACAAAAATATTAGTAATAATGCATCAAGTGTTCAAGTATTTAGTGTGTTTAGTAAAGAAAATTCAATATTATAACCATTATCTTCTGTTTTCCCCTAATAATTTGTTGAATAAACCATTTCCACTGAGCAGTTGAAGCCTAGCCCGGCTCTTGCCTTCCAACGCAGTTCCGCTCAATTCTAGTTTCCCTTCACTGCTCGAATTTTCGTCCGGGCCAGTCAGAGAACAGAACGTCGATTTTCTGCGCAGTGTCTGCTTGTAGTTTATTTTACCTGGACCAATCAGTACACAGAAGGCGGGATTTTGAACGACGTTGATTTTCTGCGCAATGTCTGCTAGTTAGTTTAGCATACGACAGTGGAGGAAGTGAATGAAGCCAGTCTGTGTTGATAAGGCTTCCAAATTAAAATAAATTTGTCTGACAAAGCAGCAGCTGTCATTTACAGTCGTCTCGTTCAGCTCGGTACTTCTCTCCTCTCAGTAGGGTTGTTAACAGCGCACGTGATTTCCGGTTAGCATCTTAGCTTAGCCTCCTTCACAGTGGAGCTGGTATGCACATACATTGCGGCCAACTGATCCAGTCATTTTAAACTTCAACAGAGGCCACRCCTCCAGCAAGAATCATTTCTCTATAGCCGAGAGTCCAGACCCTCGTACGAAGCAAAGTGAAGGACAAGGGTCTGGTTTTTACCAGGGTAGGTGAAGCCCTTTGTTAGTCTACATTTCCAGTTCTACGTTCCTACCCTCATAGTCATGAACTTTGAGAAGTGACCGAAACAACAAGATCATGGATACAGGCAGGCTAAAAGTGTTTTCTCTGCAGGGTAGCTGGACTCCTCCTCCTCAGAGATAGGGTGAGAAGTTCAGTTATCCAGGAGAGACTCAGAGTAGAGCCGCTGCTCCTCCACGTCGAGAGGAGCCAGTTGAGGTGGCATCTGGTAAGGATGCCTCCTGGACACCTTTCCTAAAGGTTTTCAGGACATCTCCGACTGGGAGGAGACTCTGGAAAGACCCAGGACACGCTGAAGAGACTCAGTCTCTCAGCTGGCCTGGGAACGCCTTGGTATCCTCCCAAAAGAGTTAGAAGAGGCGGCTGTGAAAAAGAGGTCTGAGCCTCCCTGCTCAAGCTATGATAGCTGGCTAGATGGATTGATGGACCCTTCAGGTGTAATATGTAGTATGATTTATATTTGGTTTTTCAAAATGTTCACYACAGCTGATCTAAATTTGCCAACACAAAAAGCTAAAGTTCAATATATTTTACAGGTAATAAGTGGTAGTACATGAGAGTGCTTGACAACAGGTACTAGAGTGACATCTCCCAGAATTACATTAGACTCTATCTTATTTTAAGGCTTGACCAAATCAACTCTAATTTAATCATTTCTCAACATGAGATATTTGGACGAATGGGGCAGAGTGTTTAGGGGAGTCGTCCTGTAACCAGTGGGATGTTGGTCCAATCCACTGTTCCATCGGTCTCAGTCGTTGAGTCCTTGGGCAAGACACTTCACCTGCCTTGATTGGTGGTGGTCAAAGGGTCAGTACATGTAGCCTCTGTCAGTGTGCCCCACAGCAGCTGTGGCTCAATGTAGCTTACCATCATCAGTGTGTGAATGGGTGAATGACTGTGTGAAGCACTTTAGAGTCCATGGGGACTTGATAAAGTGATATATCAGTTCAGGTCATTACCATTTTTACCATGAGGCGACTTCAGTTTAAAGCTTTTGAACAACAGTTGGACTATTAGGAATGTAAAGTGTTTATTAAAATGCTTTAGTTTTTTAATTTGCATTCCATACTGCAGTAACTCAGTGATAAATCTTCTTTTTTTACATGGCTAATTAAAATTACCATCATTCTTTAATCACAGACTCATAATTTTCAGATGATAAATGCAACATATTGGCACAGCCGAACACTCGTTACACATCAAGTACAAACTCTCAGCAACCCGAGTAATAAAAGTCAGTTTTATACAAGTTGCACTTTCATGTACTGGTTATAAAAGTATAACTCTGCTCATCAGTAGGTTAGGTGTGTGAGCGTGATCATAAAGGAGACACACTGACCAATTTTATTAAAGGCCTCTCGGAGGTCTTCCAAGTCATCTCGGGAAATCTGTGTGAAATGATTCTCCATGATCTAATCCGTTCTGTGTACCTGAAACATACAGCAGCCACAAAGTTCTGATTCAATTAGTTCATTAAACAGGACTAAAACAAGACTTTTATTGCCTTGATGTTAATGTAATAACTTTTCTTTTTTTTTTCAACAATCATTAACACATGTATATTCTTTCATGGCAAATTGAGACCAGTACCTTCGTATACAGCCAGGCTGCAGGAGTCGGGTCTTCCAAAGCTCTGCTGGGCTTCACGCTGCAACAGAAACGAAGGTGAGCCTGGAGCGCTTTGACAGCTGATTACTTCAGTAAGGAGGAGTCACCCAGTGGAGGCTCCCAGCAGACCTTTGGCCCGCCTGGTCCTAGGAGAGGCAAGGCTACGTGGTTAACATTTAACACTCCAGCTGTGTCATCATGTTATTGTCCATAAAAGAACGTTTATCTTTGAGTAGAGTGTAAGAAGAGCAAAAAACATGTTACAATAGGTCTTCAGTGTGGGAATGATTGACAGAACAGAAAACCGATTTCGGTTTGAGTTTTTCTTGCTGCGCCCAACATGAGTTACAGCTACAGCATGTTTTGCATTTGCAGCCATAATACTAAACACATATAATACATTTTTTTCTTTTTGCTTCCAGACCAGGTTGGATCTTTGTGAGAAATGAGGCTGAATTTATCTGCTTCACTTTCTGTAACCTGAAGGTTTACAACAAGCTCATGATTTCAGCCACTCCACCAGCTGAGCTGATCTATGATTCAACTACTTTTTCTTAAAGAGGATCAGACTTATTATTTCTGTAAAATTTGACAGGCGGGAGTCAGCCTAGATAAACACCTACAATAGTTCAGTCAACAGCAGTGGTTCTCAACTTTTTTGGACTTGTGTACCACCTGAGCCGTTTTGTCTAGTACCCCCTCAGTAAAACGTAATGATGATTCTCCAAAACTATAATGTACTACAACTGGTTATTAATTGAAAATTATTTATTTAACCCCTTAGAATGTTTAATTCTCAAGTATTTTATTCTTTAAACCAGAGTTGTAAAGTAACTAAGTACAAATACTTCTTTACTGTACTTAAGTAGAATTTTTAGTGTATCTGTACTTGAGTAATTATTTTTCAGCCTGCTTTTTACTTCTTACATTTTTACACAGTTATCTGTATTTTCTACTTATTACATTTTTAGAAAAGGTAAGAAGTAGAAAGTCGTTACTCCTATTTCATTACAGCTTGTTGTTAAAAAATATTATCCTCCTGGATAATGTGAATTTAATTGTGGTTGGATGAGAAGTATATATATTATTCTGATCCTGTATTAGTTTGTACACAATCCATCACAGCTGCAAATAACACAAATTGTCACACTCCAGCAGAACATAGCAGACATATTGTATGTAACAGGTGTATTGCAACAGGTGTAGTGCATCCTAATTTTTCTAACACTAACATTTTTATATGACAATATAGCCAGTTTGACCTTTAGAAAAATGTTTTTTTGAGGGTCTCAACTCCCAATAAATGTCGTTTTGGGAAGTCTAGCCACTCATTTTTACTCAGTACTTTTACTTTTAATACTTAAGTACATTTTGTGTCAGAAATTTACTTTTGATACTTAAGTAAAAAAATGTATTAGATATTTTAAGACTTTTACTCAAGTGATATTCTTAGAAGAGACTTGAACTTTTACCAAAGTAAATTTATGGTAAGATACTTGTACTTTTACTCAAGTGATATTCTTAGAAGAGACTTGAACTTTTACCAAAGTAAATTTATGGTAAGATACTTGTACTTTTACTCAAGTGATATTCTTAGAAGAGACTTGAACTTTTACCAAAGTAAATTTATGGTAAGATACTTGTACTTTTACTCAAGTGATATTCTTAGAAGAGACTTGAACTTTTACCAAAGTAAATTTATGGTAAGATACTTGTACTTTTACTCAAGTGATATTCTTAGAAGAGACTTGAACTTTTACCAAAGTAAATTTATGGTAAGATACTTGTACTTTTACTCAA